AGGATTGCTGTTAGGAAAATAAAAAGGGGGATTCTTGGGTAGCCATTTCTCAGACTCTAGATTTTAACTCTTTCTCAGTTTAAAAATATCACTTCATAGAATTTTTGTGCTCCAGCAATGCAGCTAAAATTTATGAAGGGTAATAGTATGATAATAGTGATTTGCTATTGGAGGAAGAGATGATTTTAAAATTTAGCTAACAAGAATAACTGATGAAAAGAAGGCATGTTGTAAAATGTACTGATTTTATAAACCCAAACAGGTTAGAAGTGTTATATGAAGAAATAAAGAACTGTTTTTTAGCAGATCTCAGAAGAAAATACCCCAAGCCAAAGTTGTCATATTTCACATGCATGCTATGGTCCCACCCCAAGATTCCTGGAAATCTTAGAAAAATATCTGAATACTTAAGGTCAAGTTCTCACAGCTGTGACAAGAATTAATAGTAGATGTTTAAAATATTTTCATATACTTCACTCCTAGTAGTTAAGTTAGAGGATACTTACTACAAACAAACATTTGTTTTGGTTGGATTCGATAGTTCAAGCCTGTGATACTAGCTACTTGGGAGGCAGAGATTATGGATCAAGGTTCCAGGCCCAACTCAGGCAAAACAAGGAAGTTAAAAGACTCATCTTGGTAGGCATCATGATGTGTGTCTGTTATTCTAGCTAGAGAGGATGAGGATCCTTCATAAACCTCATGAAATGGCCATTCTAATGGGAGTAAGGTGGAATCTGTGTTGTTTTGATTGACATTTCCCTTGTGCCCATCATCAAGAAAACAAACAGTAACAGATACTGGCAAGGATATAGCTAAAAGGGAACCCTAAAACACCAAGGGTGGGAATGTAAATTTGTCCAATCACTGTGGAAAGCAGCGTGGAGGTTCCTCAAAATCTAAGCATAGGGCTGGGAAGGTGGCTCAGTGAATCAAGAAAATGTAATTGTGTGTGTGTGTGTGTGTGTGTGAGTGTGTGTTTTACTCACCCATTAGAAACAATGATATTGTATCATGTGTAAATAAATGGAAAGATCTGGAAAAAATTATGGCAAGTCAGGTCCAGAGAGACAAAGGATGCATATTTTTCCTTAGCTTGTAAACTTTCAAGTAAATATGTGGGGTGGTATGCAAGTGTATACAAATATATTACCTGAAATATCATAGGTTCAAAGGAGATCTCAAATAGTGCAATTCATTAGAAAGGTAAAGTCAAAATAAACACCAGGAAGTGGTTATTTGGAAGGTGTTAGAAGGGATCAAGGAGAGAAAGGGGTAGATGAATGAAGAGGAGAAGTGTGAAGAATGCACTCAAGAATTTAATGTATATCCTTCAAATTTTTTTTTTAAAGTGAGGGAAGGGGTAGGTTGGGAGGAATGAGTGAGAACATTGAAAAGATCAACATGAGCAAGATGCATTATGTTCACAAACTGCTTTGTTAAATAGAAACTCCTTGGTATAACTACTTAAAAATAACAAAAAGATAGAAACATTTAAAACAACAAAAAATAAAACCCCAGGTAATTCATGTTTTCAAAACAAGATTTCCTAAAAAAGACAGTGCACCACATTACATTAAGCACATGGATAAGAAATAACAATCACATCACTCATCCAGAACCATACTTGAAAACTTTAAACTATGGAAAAAAAAGATGTATTTTCTTGGAAAGAATTAAAGAACAGGGCTGGGAAGGTGGCTCAGTGATAGAGTGCTTGCCTTGCATGCATGAGACCCTGGGTTCGATTCCTCAGCACTACATAAGCAGAAAAGGTTGGAAGTGGCGCTGTGGCTCAAGTGGTAGAGCACTAGTCTTGAGCTAAAGAGCTTAGGGACAGCGCCCAGATCCAGAGTTCAGGCCCCATGACCAGCAAAAACAAAAACAAACCAAGAATTAAAGAATAACCAGGAGTCACAAATAAACTGGTTTATCAAGGTTGTTTTCAATCTATTTTTTCCTACTAAGAAAAATATAATAAATGTATTGTATCACTTCAAATGATATGTTTACTATTCCAATATTTGTTTCCATTGCAAAAGAAACTATGAAATGAAGGGAGGTACTTTTTATTACATCATCATTGTCATAACTCACTTCAAGTATAGATTAGATGTAGAAATCAGATTAATGGAATGAGCAATTTATATATATGCACACATACATACAGTCTTTATATTTCCTAATTTAACAAAGAAATGTTCAAGGGAACCTATAGACCTGATTAAAAGAAAAGTTTGTTAATCCTCTCTTCTTTGATTTTCTGCAGCATGCGCAGTCTAGATGAATCATTTCACAAGGGTGAATTATCTCGTGTCTTTTCACGCATATATTTCTTGTCTGTACAACTGAAAAGTGAACTCTTGGTGCTAATCCCAAAGTCTTGAACCTGACCTGGGTACATTAATCATTGATTGACATGAACATCTTAAGGAAAAAGCCCAGTGAGATACACTTAAAATTTTTATTCATTGATTTACAAAATATACAATATTTACAACATTTATGCATTGATACAATATTGACATGGGTGTTTGAAGGAGTCTAAAAATAAATATGTGGCACATAGATTAATATACACATCATGGCCCTCTACACTTCAAGCCATCACCAATAGTGAAATTTAATGGAAAGTATAATGTAGTAGAAAAGTCAGATGGCTAACCAATCCTAGAACTTCCACATGACTGGCCCTTCCTTAATTCCTGAAGCTATGGTTGACAAACCATTTTCTTTCAAGAGAATTAAACAAAAGCCATTTTGACAGGTGTTTGGGATGCATGCAGCCATTTGTGCAGTATCTGCAATAAGTTCCTGGGGGCTGGGTTTTTCTCCACCTTTGTGGACCTGGTCCCTGGACACCAGCTAGTGAGGTTCTGATGTGGTCGCTCCCTTGTCTCTTATTCAAATTGCATGCAGAACTTGGAAAATGTCTGTGGACTGTGACCATGCACAATTGGTACTTGTAGATATATGTACAACACCAGATTTTCTTTGCCTTATAGCATCTTTAGATGCAGCATCAGTTGTCTACTCTTAGCAAGAGGGATGAATGAAGGATTCTCAACAGTAAGAGAAAAATATCAGCTGGGGTCACATGCAAATGGAATCTTGTAGAAGCAGGGTAAGATAAACTCTACATGATAAAAATGAGCAAATTCCTAGAAGGGTAATTTGACTTTCTCATTGTGTCCACTCTTCCTGCCTCATCTGCAGGAAAACGTTCACCTCATTGAGCTTCCTAGAGCTTCAGAACCTTCATTTGTAAAGTTTAAATACTAGTGCTATTCCTTAGAGGGTTCTTGCAGGGATTATATGACCTAGCTATGTAAAGTGCTTAGCATAGTGCCTGGCACATAGGAGGTGCTTAATGCATGTCTTGCTTTCTTTCCCTTGACTCCTAACTCCAATTATAAGCACCTAAAGAAAATTGATAAGCCTACCAAACTCTGAATTAAGGCCATGTGATGTAATTTTGATTGTTTTTTGTATCAGAGTCACTGCTGTCAGTTCACATTTAGTCCCTGAGGTGGGTCTCATTTCTTGAGCCAAAGATAGCTTTCTGTGCACAGCAGATGACACTGTCTTCTGTATCACTACTGGTTCCAACCACATTACACACAAACATACTCCACAACAGAAATTCTGACCAGTGATGAAATCCACCTGAATATATCTGAGACAATACCACTGAGAAAACCATGAGCAAGAACCTTGCAGCAAGCACATTACTCTTGCTCACAGCACATTAATTTTTTTCCAACACTGGTGCAAGTATTACAGATAACTTTCCACAAACATATATTAAAAGCTTTACCACTGTTGAAAAATAAGCATTAAGATTTGATTTGTTCAGAATAAAGAACTTTTCAGAATATATTTTAGTTTCTGGTTATGTCATAAAAAATAAATAGTGTTTAAAGAATTTACAAGGAAGAAGAAAAAAACTGTAACTTTGGGTGTCAACAATATATGAAAGATGAACATTCTATCCTCTATTTCAAAAGCAAGATCTAAAAGAAACAAAAGCATACTATTTTACTAGACTCTTTACTAGTCTTATAATCCACCTTTTGCTACTCTTAGCATATTCTGTTTTCCTTAGCTATTGGTTTAAAGACAATTTAATCCAGAACCTTCATCCTAAAAAATCACTGGGTATGTGAAAGGAGAAGGTTCTTTGGCACTAAGAACTATGGATAATGAGGAAACTTATTGAGCTACTTCTGAGCCCTCAAAAAACTAGAAGTAACCTTCATAGGTCTCTCTTTCATCCAAAAATCCCATCATCTCTGACTAAATTATTTATGATTAAATGGAACCCAGCACCTGGTAAAAGTAACCCCATCCAACTTTGGGACTCTGGATACCATTGGCCCAGGTTGAATGGAAGGTTTTATGGAACATGATTAATTTTCCCATCAAAGTGAATCTATCCAATTATATAAAGAGTTAAGCATAAGTACTTCATGAATGATAATTCCATTAAGTTGGGGAAAATCTTTCTCTAGTCACCCCTACAAATACACCAAACTTTTATGATTGCCTGTTTTACCTCTCAGGCAGAGCAGAGGGAAATAATTCTTTGCCTCAAGAAAAAGAGATTGGGAAAATTAAAGTGAGCAAATTGCATAGAGTAAATTGCTCTTTGAGAAACTCAGTTGGAATCTAAAATGAAATAGTCCACCCATATTCAGATTCAAAGTTGTAAAATCCTAAAACAATACGTGAATTCATAATTAGAATAAAACCAGTGGTTCTTTTACCCTTCTCCTGAAACACCATCTTTTACATGTATCCAGTATCCATATAACAGACTCTTCAGAACTCCTGCAGCTCATACATGGATTCTAAATCAAGAACCCCAGATTGTACTACATGCACAGCTCTTTCTTTCCTGGAGTAAAAACAACAGTTTGTGGTACAGGTCCCAGGGAATGTATTGGGAAGAGGCTGGCTCTGATTAGGTCTTGGCTGGACTGTAAATGACAACAGTGAAGCATGGCTAGGGTACTGCCTGGCCATGATGACACCTGTGAGTGCTGTGATCTTATGTGCACAATGCTGCCAGGTCAATGACGCATGCATGATGAGAGACTGCCGTGATCCCCACAGATCACTACTACCCATGTTGCCTTGAGCTGCTACACAGTGAGTCCTAACCATACCCACAAGCAGGACACAAGCACCGACATACAGTGTGGGTGCCTTTTTGTCTGATTTATAGGTGATGTGGTGGCAAATGTGGCATCGGTTTCATTTCGAGGGAGTGGCAGGTTACAGATATTTCCTTCACAGCAGGAGGTGCAGATCTAAAAGAAAGGAAGAAAAAAAAAGTTGATGAGAAAGTAAACAGGTTTTGGAAAGAGGCAAGGATTTTAAAGACACTGACTCCATCATGGCAAAATTCAAAGGACAGAGATTTGTTCTACAAAGCAATCGCCAATCCCACATTTAGGAACCATGGAGATAAATGAAGCAGCATGGTCAAATTGAAAATAGCTCAGCTTAAATTTCAAGGAATGAGGGTATTGTTTTTGTTTTCCTACCCTGTCATTGCTACAAAGTTTTGCAACATTTTTAGGCCTCAGCCATTCCATCTGTGAACTGGGGATTATGAAGCTTGCTTTTCTTTTTCAAGAAACTCTTCTTGACCACATGAGAAAGCAGTCAGGAGGGCAAATCTTCCTCTGCCAAGTTTTTATAGTGAAAATAGAGCAACAAGTAGGCAACTTGAACTTGGATATTTATTTTGTTTATCACTGTCAGCACAGTTAACCCCATTCTCTGAGCTGACATCCAAAAGGCTTTCATCTATACAATTATTCCTGATTTATTCTGCTTTACTCCAGAATTACACAAAATAAACAAATCCAAAGGGCAATTGATAGGCCTTGGTTACTTTAGGCCATGGCTGTGCCTAGTATGCACCAGCAGCTTCAACAATAGGTGGACACTTGTTAGAAATGCAGAAACTCAAACCTTACCAGACTTTGAGAACTAGAGGCTGCATTTTAACAAGCTATGAGCTGGTCATATTTATAGAATAGTTGATATCTTTTACAGTCATTGTCCTGAAACAATCTGAGCATTTGGTCACAACTGACACGGGCTAGGAAGAGTGTAATGTTGAGAACAAAGACTGAAAGTCTCAAATGAATTTGAAGTTGGTTTCTGTCACTTACTGACGGTGCAACACATGACATATGACCATACAACAAAACTTCTCTGGTCCTCCCTGTTCTCCTGCTAGAAGGATCAAGTAATTGGTCTACCTTTCATATTTCATATCCAAAACAAGCTGGAAGGATATATTACATGTATATAGTTACAGTATCAAAAATTGAATTCTTAGTAATTTTGAGAAATTACTTGAAAATTGAGAGAAGGAAGTCTTCATAGGTAATGCTTTCTGAGATACACAGTAAGAAATTGCCCTGACCCTGATAAAGTTTAAGAGGTGCAAATCCACATGGGGGTTCTTTGATCACTTCAAATTAGTCAAAATCCAGCAGAGACCTTCTCCAATCTCATACCCAGAAAGACACATGGAGTTATGAAAGCTAAAATGTATCAGCCTTCCCAGGTAAATGACTTGCTCTGGTATCTCCAGTGCTTTGCTATGATGGGCATTAGTGGTCCCTGCTCTGGCCCTTCTGGTAGATAGCTGATTTTCTTCTGAATGAGGAAATAGCAGTCTTATAATCATCTTCAACCCTCTTGGAAAGTGCTCATATACATTCATGTTCTTTTAGGGCATACATAAAGGAATCTTCTTTTTACAGTGGTATAATGATAGAAGGCAGCCCGTATGGGCAGGGGCATCTGCTTGTGAGTACTGGCAGCTGTCTGTCTGAGATAACAGGCAGCTGCCTACACTGTACCATCTTTTGCTTTGTTGCCCAGACCTTGTGGCCTTCATGCTCTGAGTCTCTGCAGCCAGTGGACAAGCACTCTTCTAGTGGTACACAGCGTTTGGTGACAGAGATGCTGTTTCCTGTGACTTCCATCGTGTGCTGAGTATAGCAGTATCTGGTTTCTGTGGACATAAAATATGCTTTAATTGAGAGGGGAATATTAGCTCTGTCTACTGAAAAGGCACATCGTAGCAGTGGCATGTAAACTGTCTCAAGTTTACGGCCAATGACAGAATCTACCTCCTAGAGAATGTTAATCTTTGTCTATCATAATCCTCACAATCTAAGATATACTGGTATCATTCTCTCCCTTTGAACTAACTTTATCACTGTCCTGATTTTTAGGAAGTGAGTGATTCAAAGAGTTAATTTAAGTAGTCAGATACTTGTTAGCTTTCAGGAAAATGAAGGAGTAAAAAAGTTCAAGCTGGGAGCCAGTAGCTCACAATGTAATCTTAGTTACTCAGGAGGCTTAGATCTGAGGATTGAGGATCAAAGCCAGCCTGGGCAGGAAAGTCCATCACACTCTTATCTCTAATTAACCACCAAAAAAAAAAAAAGATAGAAGTGGAGTTGTAGAGTGCTAGCCTTGAGAGTTAAAAGAATTTAGGCAGGTGTACAATGGTCCTATAGAGGATGAAAATCTATCACAGAGGATATGTGTGTGTGTGTGTGTGTGTGTGTGTGTGTGTGTGTGTGATTCCAACAAATTAGACATGGATTCATTTTAGCTGGAGAAAATGACTATTTTTAAGGATGAATTTCTTGCCAATGAATATGTTTGAATCCTAGGATGCCTGGAGGAAGATGAATGTCACAATGCAGGTGTTCTACAAACAAGGAGCACTGTATCTGCTATAATTTCTGCAACTTTCTGGGATGGTAGATGATGACCATGATGGGAGTTTATGAAGGACTATATACATCTTACAAATCTGAAATCCTGAGATTTCTTGCAAAATTCCATACAGAATTTCTCTATTGATAATTTAAATACTAGAGGGGAAAAACTTGGGCTTTGTCAGTGTAATTCTTTAGGACCTCCAGGCAGCATTCAGCTCTGTAAGTCTGGGATGTAGGAGAATGTACCCTCTCTCCTTTCACATTAGAAAAGAAATGAATAAATCTTAAGAAATGACACTGTGCTGTCTTTCATCTATATCTTGGACCTAACTTTGCATGCTTTATACATTTTGGATATTTAGTGGCTAATATGGAATTATGACCTACTACGATATTATTTATTAGGCAATAAAAATCCCCCACACCACATTCTGTCAAGATTCTGGCAGCTTTTAACCAGAGTTCTAATGCAAAAAGAAAAAAGCTTAAGAAGTTTAAGAAGAATGAGCTAATATAGACCACATTGACCTCGTTCCAGCTATGAAAACGTAAGGATTTTATGAATCCTCCTAGACAACAGCACTCGGACAGGAACCCAGAATAGCCTCTGGCTGAGTGTGACCAATGAAAGCACCTTTTTCAGGGTTGCACTGTTGTTGGCTCTTCCCAGGAAGGTCCTAGATCAATGCCATCCCTTTTTGTTTAATATGGTATGTAGCAATTTGAGTGTAGGGCAAGTAAGATCACTCTGGGAGTGAACAGTTGAAAGTTTGACTCCTGGAAATGGCATCCCAAAAACCTCCAGTATATCTTAAAGTTGAAGTGATGGTGCTTTGCCTGAGGAGTTTGCAGAAGCTCTCATCTGGTTTTCTTTTAAGCTTTTGTTTGACAGTTTTTGACAAATGAATACCAGTGGCTTGAGATTTACTACATCTTCCAAAGAAGACTGGTTTACCTCTTTGGTATCAGACTCAATGGACATTTATGACCATATTTCCAACCCACACCCCAACTTCAATATTCTGGAAAGCAATAAAAACAGGAATGTTCTTATCTCCTGTCTCCTCTTCTTGCAGACAACTTGGAGCAGCGCCAGAGGCTTTATTGCTCTAAATGTAAATCTGAGCAGATAAGATCGCATGCTTATGGAATAAATAAATCTCTACAAGGTTTCAGATTGGGAAATTAGGTTTGTCCCCCAAGTAACGAATTATCTTGTTTTAAGTGAGCCTTAAAATAACAATTGTTAAACTAACATCACCTCAATTCTGTTCATACTCTTTTTATTGTCTTCTTAACTTATGAATCGGGAGTTTATTTCATTGAATGAAAGCAGTGCCAACCACTGATGAAAATAATTTTTCAGGAAAATATGAAAAACCCTTGCCATCTTGATATGGGAGAGGGGGATTAGTGCAGACGCTGGATAAGAATCTAATACATAAAATAAAGATATAGCAGGAATACTGCCATGGCTTCCAAAGTCCAGGTCTTAATCCTGAAGCATCAGGTCCTCAAAGTATCTATTCTACTTTTTGTTTTACAAACTTCCTAGGTAACTTACAAAGTGTTAATGTGGAAGAAGGCTCTGCAGTTAAGTAAGTTTTGGAAATGCTCAAATAAAATAAGCTGATTTCTTTGAGGAACATTTTTGAAGAGTCTTCAACATCCCTTTTGATCTGTGATATGCAAGGCTATGTTGGGGTGAGCAGAAGGAATTTCTCAAGCAGAACGAGGTGGACCCAGGTGGCTTCTCACTGGATGGTAGTCATGATAAAAAAAAAAAAAACTGAGTTTGAGCCACAGAGCATGGCTCACCAAGTATTCTGAATAATCCTTGGGTAGGTAATGAGGTTACATGAGAATCAAGCATGCTGATAACTTCACACTAAAAGGATTCCAAAGGCTTTTATCTAAAAGATAAAAGATGGATTTGAATTTCTAGTAGGTTACTTTTGGCCTCTAAAATCTTATATTCTGCAGTTGCTTAGTATTCCCAGAGGCTGTGAAACCTAAGTCTTTGACTCACAGTAAAATTAGAAGTAGAAAAAGAGGGCCTAATGAACACAAAACATAATTTTTGTAAAACTTTCTCTGTCTCTGTCTTTCTCTCACATACACACATACTATAATCTATTTTGAAATTTAAAATGACTCCACAGCTAAGCTGTCCAATAATAGAACAACAGGTAAACCAACTCCACACAAAGTAATCTGACATAAACGAGACACTACAAATGTCTACCTCTGGTAAAAGACTCTTCACCACTTATTTATTCTCTGTTGCTCTGCTATAGAGAACAAACCAGAGGTGCAACAAAATGGATGAGAAGCTGGGTGCCACTGGCTCATGCCTTTAATTCTAGCTACTCAGAAAACTGTGATCTGAGGATGGAGATTTGAGCCAGCCCAGGCAGCAAAGTCCAAGAGACTCATCTCCAATTAACCACGCTAAATCCAGAAGTGGAGCGGTGGCTCAAATTGGTAAAAAAAG